GGGCGATGTTTCCCGATGCCGTGAAACTGTACCACGGAACGTGCCCAAATTATAATTATGAATGCGGCCACAGGTGCAGTCAAGGACGTGTTTAACACAGACAGGGGGTGAATAAGTCAGTATTCATAAAAATAGATCCTTTAACGGTCCCTTTTAACGTTGCCCTCGCTGCAAAAGGATTCGAGTTTTTGAACAGTCGTTGGACAAAAAGACCTGCCATAGACGCACCTATGTCTTGTCTTTAAACTTAATGAATTCACCTGGCTGACAAACTGACTGAGGTCCATTTTTTAAAGCAACAATAACAGACAATAGCTTTTTGACAGATGTGAATAATTAATTTGATTCACTTATTAAAAATTCGGCGGTTTCAGTGGGAGCAGAACCCAAGGGAGCAAGGACAAAGCTAGAGTGCATTCAAGGCTACGAGTGTTTACGTGAGGTTATTGTAAAAGTGTTGGCGTTTTCAAAAGCAAAAGTTCCCACTCTTGGTTAAGAAGATATACTGTAGAATCTGAAAAAAAAATGGTTAAAAAGTTAATTCCCCAAGTGTATGCAGACTATCTCTTAGGACACGAAAAAATTCTACCGATGAGAAGGGGCTCGGCAGAGCGGCCCTGTTCGTCATAGTGTGCGACTTAGACGAAACTGGGAATTTACGAGAGGAAAATTAAGCAGCATTAGAAGAAGTTACCAGGAGAAGATGACCGGCATAGGACATGTTTCGGTAATCAGCTCCGTTGCCATCGGGTAAGTTAAAAGGGTTCTGCGGGTGTAGGTCTGTTATAGAGCTCTCACTTGACTGAGAAAACGCCACAGGTACTGGGGCATTTTTAAGAGGCAGGAATAGTGGAAGTAACGGAGGCTCCGAACTAGTTCTCTGAAAAAAAGCTGGCGGCGGTGGCGTCGGACGATCACTGGCCAATTGGCACAGGTCAAAGAAAAAGTTAATAGCTCTCCAGGTAACCTAAGCGAGAACCAAGAAGGGAAAACATTATGTAAAATACGATGATGACGAAAACTGTATGAGTTATGTACTACAGACAATTCGCAGACAAACCTGATGCATGCATTCAGCATTATCTGCGTGCCAGAATTCGCATCCATTGGGCGCTTCCTTAGTCTGACGAATAAACTCGTGTATGAGCGCCCGTGGCTGTCCATTTCTATTACCAAAATCCTGTGAGTGAATAAGGGGTAATACTGAACAAGAGCTTACCCTTTCGCGCATAAGTTTTTTCGGCGTGAGTGGTAAAGTTGTCCGAGAGTAGTTATCCTTTATGCCAGCGGCCGTCTTGAGAGAAGAAAATTGACAGCTGTTAACACAACTGGTAAAATGCAGTCATATGGTCGGATGATGCAGAAATAGGGAAAGGGAGAGAAATGCGAGTGGTTTAGTAACGAAAAAGGCAATTACGAACAAGAAACATCCTCAGCTAGGCATTTG